CAGGAGATGTTTGAGAAAAGCTTCAATGCAACATATATAGCTTTGATTCCAAAGAAGACAGGTACAAAAGAATTGAGAAATTTCAGACCGATCAGTCTGATAGGGAGCTTCTACAAATTGCTCTCAAAAGTCTTAACAAATGGCTTTCATCAAAGGAAATTGTCGATGATCAACAAATGGCTTTCATCAAAGGAAGACAAATAATAGATGCAGTGTTGATTGCCAACGAAGCTGTGGATTCAAGAATAAAAAAGAAGGAACCTGGAATCTTATGCAAATTAGATATTGAGAAGGCCTATGATCATGTTAATTGGAGCTTCATACTCAGAATGTTAGAAATAATGGGTTTTGGGCAGAAATGGAATAGATGGATGAAATTTTGTATATCCACCGTAAAATTCTCCATTCTCATAAATGGATCTCCTAAAGGTTTTTTCCATTCACACAGAGGTCTAAGACAAGGTGATCCTTTATCTCCCTTTCTATTCATTATAGCCATGGAAGGATTGAACAACATGATCAAAACGGCTAAAGTCAGTGGATGGGTTAAAGATTTTGAGGTAAACAGGAGTGGGGCAAACAATCTAGAGATCACACATCTCCAATATGCTGATGATACTCTAGTCTTTTGTGATGCCGAAAAGGAACAACTTAGATTGCTAAGAATCATTTTGGTCTTATTTGAGGGAGTCTCAGGATTACACATCAACTGGAGAAAGAGCAATATTTTTCCCATTAATGAAGTTAATAACATGGAGCAACTGACACAGATATTGGGAGGAGAAGTTGGGTCCCTACTAGCTGTTTACCTTGGGATGCCTCTAGGTGCAAGACTGAAATCAAAAGAAATCTGGAATTCAGTCATAGAAAAGTGCGAGAAGAAGTTGTCAAGATGGAATTCACAATACCTATCTTTGGGGGGCAGGCTAGTTCTAATAAACTCAGTATTAGACTCACTTCCTACTTATATGATGTCTTTGTTCCCAATTCCAGCAGGCATTTTACAGAGATTGGACAAACTTCGAAGATCATTCCTTTGGCACGGTAATAAGGAGAAAAAGGTCTTTCATTTAGTTAAATGGAAGACACTCACAATGGATAAAAAACAAGGTGGTTTAGGAATAAGGAATTTGAAGAATCATAGCAAGGCTCTTAGAATGAAATGGTTATGGAAGTACTCTCAAGAACCTCAATCTTTATGGGGCAAAGTGATCAAAGCAAAGTATGGTGAGAAAAATAACTGGGTGTCAAAAAAAGTCAGAACATCATATGGAGTAAGTGTGTGCAAATCCATCAGAGAACTTTGGCCTATAATGAAGAATCACTCTTCCATAAGAGTAAACAACGGAAGGAACACATCATTCTGGAATGATAATTGGTTAGGAAACGGAAGCTTAAAGGAAAGATACACCGACATGTTTGGTTTAGCACAAAACCAGCATAAGACAGTAGCTGATATGAGGAGTCCTCAAGGATGAGAAATCGCTCTAAGAAGACAGTTGAATGACTGGGAGATAACAAGATTAGCTGACATTTACAAAGAGCTGGAAGCATTTAAAGGATTACAGGAGGGTTGTGACTCACTTTGGTGGAAGAGGCACAACAGAGGGGTATACCGGGTGAAGGACGCATATAAGATTCTGAATCATAATAATCAACAGATGGACCCATGGCCTTGGAAACATATATGGAAAACAAAGATTCCATACAAGGTAGCTTGCTTCACTTGGCTACTAGCAAAGGAGGCGTTTTTAACCCAGGAGAATCTCATAAAAAGGGGAATCTCTCTGTGCTCAAGATGTTTTCTGTGCGGGGAAAATGCTGAAACTGTCACACATTTGTTTCTTCATTGCAAGATTACAGACCAACTATGGAAAATCTTTATTAGTCTTAGGGATATTTCATGGTCAATGCCATACAGGCTTAAAGATGTCCTTTATAGCTGGGAAGAAGCTGGAGCTGAAGCAACTAGTAGAGATAGATGGAGGACTGTCCCGGCGAGTATCTGGTGGATAGTCTGGAGGGAAAGGAACGCTAGATGTTTTGAAGATAGAAGCAATCCAGTGCAGAAGATCAAACTCAATTGTATTCTTCTTTTTTGTTTCTGGTGCAATCAGATTTACATAGAAGACACATTGACAATCATAGACATACTAGGATCTTGCTAGGTCTCGAATTAGAACATCTACTAATCCTCTCCATGTAAATTGGGTTTTCAGTGCAACCTATGTACTGATGTTTTTTAATATATACAATAGTTACCAATTCAAAAAAAAAAAAAAAAGCCCTAGTCCTAAAACTTTCTTCTCCCTATTTAAACAGCACACGACTGAATACCAAGGCCTGTATTTATATTTTATCCAGCGAACTTCATAATCTTTTGACAACAAAATGAAGCAAATAAAGCCAAAATATTATTCAGAAGGTTTGAAGCTACAGACATAGTAAACTGAGCCAACTCTATAAAATGTCAAGTTCAAGCTTAGGAAGAACTCAAACGATTTTGTAAATTTCCTTTTTACTTTTGAATCAAATATAATACTCCAGTAATCTTGAAAATTTGCGTTGCTCTCCTAGTCACTACAAAAGTTTGCCAAAAGCTCTTTACTTTCAGGTCTCCATCTACCAGTTAAAGCAAAACAGAAGAAAATATATGTTTTTCCTCACTTCAAGTATCTGATAGAGAGACAAAAACAGAGAGAAGTAGAGAGAGCGAGACAGGGGGTGGCTGAAGGAGACGGGAGAGAGACAACAGAGGTATTAGAGAAGAAGAATAGAATAATTGATAGCTATGACTTATATGTGAATTTGCAGAAGCAAATAATGGAGATTGAAAGTAAACTTACTGGAACGAAGAAGAAAAAGATTAGAGTGGGGTGGGGAGGGTGAAATTTTTTTTTCTTTTTTCTTTTTAAGACACGTGTCTTTATTTTATTCATTCTTTGACACATCATCAGCAAGTAATGGTCACATGCTTGGTTTTGCTAACTTGTGTGTTTAAGAGATACATTTCTACCGAGTTAAAGTGCCTGTTTGGTCACTAGTTAAGTTGGAACGTCCAACTTACAAATGGTACCAAGTTTAAGGGGCTATCTAGGTATTTAGCCAAAGTAATATGTACCAATATGAGTTTTTCATCTATACTCGAACCATATACCAACGATATTATCAAATCATTCACCAGATCTGTCCAAAAGTGCGTTCTAGTTGATTTATGATGCTTCAAATTGGAAAGATGACAACCTTCAGCTCTTTTCGGTGTTTCAAGTTGTTCGGGCATGTTTACCACAATGGTTGTCTTCTAAAGAACAAGCTCCACATGATTGTTGATATCAAAACATACATCTAGCATAGCTTGATAGTAGCACCACCAGAAAATCTTTTATCACTACTCGACATAGCATATTTTCACTCTCATCACTAATTGAGATCTAACCAGGAGTGGTAATTAGGTTGTTTGAGTGGCTCACAGTACTCTTAGCCTTTTCCCTTTTATGACTGTTGATATAGAACGCCCATCCGCTAAGTCATTTCGACAAGTAAAAACTTTATCACGAGATCTTGCATCACTACTTAATATAACATATTTCCTCACTAATCATCAACTCAAATCTTACCAAGGGGTAGTCAATAAGGCTATTTGAGTAAGCTTCAAGCCTCTTCATCTCATGAGGCTCCAGAAAAAACTTCATGAAGTTTAAGAATTCACTTGAAGCAGAAGAAGCAGGGTCCTGCTCTACAAAGTTGATCTTTGGATCAAAGACACTGCAAGATTATGACCATCATAAGCATATGTAAAGAGACATACATATTACCTAACCACCAAAATGTTCAATTTTACCTCATAGCAAGCTTGTAGTTCATCCTCCGGTAGGTAGAACCCAACAGTTCGACTAACCGTCGCTTGTATTCTGAGAATGTTATAGACAACATCAATATATCGAAATAGGAATAGAAGACAATACTAACATTAAAAAACAACAACAACAACAACAACAACAACAACAACAACAACAACAACAAGTGAAATCCCACTAGTGGGGTCTGAGGAGGGTAGTGAGTACGCAGACCTTACCCCTACCCCGAAGGGATAGAGAGGTTGTTTCCGAAAGACGCTCGGCTCAAGAGAACAAAAGACAATGTAGACAATATTAGTATCACCATAGAAATCATAAGAAAGTCATAAGAAAAATAAGAACATGAAATACGGAAGAAAGATGCAAAGCAAAACCGATAGCTAGTAAATAGGTCATGCACTGAAAAATAGTACGACACAACATTGCCACTAGCTATCTTAGACAAAAACCCTACCAGACTAGTCTCACAGCGGTATTAGTAAGGCAAGACTCAACTACATCCTAACCTACAATCTTAATGCTCGACCTCCACAACTTCCTATCAAATGTCATGTCCTCGGAAATCTGAAGCATCGCCATATCATGTCTGATCACCTCTCCCCAATACTTCTTAGGCCGCCCTCTACCTCTTCTCGTTCCCTCCACAACTAGGCGCTCACACCTCCTTACCGGAGCATCTGGACTTCTCCTCTCAACATGTCCGAACCATCTAAGTCTCGTTTCCCGCATCTTGTCATCAATGGGAGCTACGTGCACCATCTCCCGAATATCATCATTCCTAATCTTATCCATCGTAGTGTGCCCGCACATCCACCTCAACATCCTCATTTCTGCCACTTTCATCTTCTGGATATGTGAGTTCTTAACAAGCCAACACTCAGCCCCATACATCATTGCCGGTCTAACCACTGCTTTATAGAACTTACCTTTGAGAATCGGTGGCACTGTCTTATCACACAAAACTCCAGACGCTAACTAACATTAAAAAAGAAAAGGAAAAAAGAACTTGTAGAACAAATACCAGCTGCTACAAGACTTGTAGCTCGTTAGATAGATGGGAAGAGGATAGAAAGGAGGGGAGATAAGAAAGTGAGGGGACAACATATGAAACTTGTATCTCTGTCTTCTCCAACTTTTGGACCAGAGTGAGGAGGACAATTTTCACCATTCCCATGAAATTACTCATAATTCCCAAGGTTGCTTGTAATACGAAGTCACTACTCTCTTAACAATGTAAAGCTAAGGAATATATTAGGAATCATAGAACTTGTGTCCTTCTTTATCATGGCAAAAGATTCTTTCCATCTCCTTTCAGTTCCTTTAGATGATAAGGTTAAAAAATCGAGAAGAACAAAAACAACTGATTACCTTGGTAGTAGGGACCATAAAAGCCCCACTCATCTGACCCAGCAGCTTCAACATCATCATTTTTCAATGCCTTCAAGACCATGCATGTGTACTCGCCAGTTACGCTATTCTGATTCATCCAATCACATGTTTGATCACATTTAATCCTCAATTTCAAGCAACTAAAAAGAATTTAAGGAACAAAAGGACTCCGAGGCTTACAGGGGCATTGCCTATGAAAAATGGAGCAAACTTATGTTTTCTCCAAAAGCGGAAAAGATCCAAGGTAAGTCCAAATGATACCCCAAGGTAATGGAGCCTTTCAGGTCGTCTTTCACGTAAAGGGACAAGCAAAGGAGGAAGATCCGTTCTCGGTCTCATATTTTCTTCGAGCAAAGAGGCCTGCAGGGAAGGTAGTATAATTTCAATAACAAAAACCAAACAAACGTTCTTTTCCACATAGAAGACTTTCTAGATGTTTTAACTATCTCACTTGCCATATTACAGCAAATGGTCAATCAGAAGGGCTTAACACAATATATCATGTACTAGATAGTGAACTGCAGACAGACCATATGAATATGAAGGGAAGGCAAATTTAATGAGAGACAACATTATGATTTAACACTGTTTAAAAAAAGTACAATGATTTAACATTTTTGCAATTTTTGAAAACCCAAATGATAAGAGGAAAACCAATAACATAAAGTACAAACTGCAAAGCTAGATGAAACAAGAATACCTCCTCTGCAGCTTCAGTTACGTTGACTTCAGGAGTCTCCAAAGCATCTTCTCTGTCTACTTCAGATAATTGAGTCAACTGACCCTCAAAGTACCTATTAGCAGTAAATTAACTTATTGTACATCAAAGATCCACGTATGAAAGATATGCAATAGTGGTGACTATGTCAAACTCTAACACAGATGAATTGAACCCATTAATTAGCTGAAGAAGCATAATATGTACTTAGCTCAAAACACTTTCAAAAAATTGTCACATCTTTAAATCTTGAACAATTTAACAAATGTATTAGAGAAAACCTATGAAAATACCCGATGAAGTAATGGAATCTAGAAATGAGAACCTAAAGCCATGATACATAATAAATATGCGAATTTGCAATTTATATATGTATGTATATATATTGTGTCTCTCTGCCCTCCCAAGGTAGGGGTAAAGCTTGCATACACACTACCCTCCCCAGATCCCACTTGTGGGAATTCACTTGGTTTGTTGTTATTGTTATTATGTGTAGATATATTGTGTCTATGTGTGTGTTTTATTCCACATAACATGCAGTACCAGTATGCATAACAAGCAACGACCTATGGAGTACCTTAATCTTTCACGAATTACAGAAAGCCAAAGGCGATTGAAGCAACTAACAAATCATATTGAAACCAAAAGATGTGAGAATTGCAATGAAATTTCTAGCTACCTGGTTAGGAGTTCAACGGCAGCAGAACCATATCCAAGCTGCAACACAACAGTGAGGCACGGTTAGACATGCTGATAAAGTTAATGGATATAAACTGTTCGATAAATTTTCAAAAACCTCCTTCCATGTCTGCTTTTAAACGCAAACCTCCATTGTCGCAAGATATGCAGACTGCTCTCATTTTGAATTTTTTTTCCAACGACATCGGGTTAAGATGACAAGATTTCTGTGATATCCCAAATCTGTCTTTTTGGAGCTTCAATTATTAGTGCTAAATTTTCTATCGCACTACAAAATTGGTGTGAAACCTTCACCAATCTCTTTAACAATAACAGAATGTAAAATACAATATTCTTTCCTACATGGGTAGAATAGATCAACTAACAACGAATGGGTTCAATTGGGGAAGAATTCCTGTATTTAAGTAGCTATAAATCTTTTGTAGCCTACTTAATTGTTTAAGTACTCAATTATACTTTAATCTATTCTTTAGGATGTAATTTTATGGTTAAATTGGTTTTACACATTTAAGTGGATTTAACTTCTCTAGGTTTTAAAGAGGTTACATTTGACAAAATAAAATAATATATGCAGTTTTAATAGAAAATATCCCTGCCATTTATCAAGTACGTGAAACATAGTAATTAAATTACGAAGAAAAAAATAGAATGAAATTCTTGAAGTTGAAAGTTCTTAATTACTTTTCCTTCGTCTCGTCCAATAAATTTCAGTGAATTAATTTGTTTCAATATCAATTATAGAAAATAAATTTATTCTATTTCTTTTCTTTTATTACCGTGGTGTGCGGGCTAGCTTGCGCGCACCTCGACTAATTCTACGGGATACGTGCTACCTCCCACCAGCAACAGGTACCACAGATAATTCTATCCATCAATGCTTGAATAGATGGGAAGAAACCACCAAGTATTTTAGTCATTGAAAGTTGAACCTGAGACCTCATGATTCTCAACCCACTTCATAACCACTAGGCCACACCCTTGGGTGCGGCTCCATTTCTATTTCTTGTTACAATTTGAGAAGATTACCCACAATTTCACACCAATTTGTGCAGCATAAATAGAGTTTGGGAAAGTTTCACTGATTTGAATGCTAGATTATGAGGGATCCCCTAATTGGTTTATTTTTCGAGTGATAACTTAGAGCCTAAAATAGTGGTGGTTCACAAAATTTATTGTGCAATAACTAATACCTCAAAGGACGTTGCTAGATAGTATAGAAATAGTATAGAAATTTTATCCTTTGAACCTAGTCTCATTCATTCGATCAATCAATTCACCTTCGTTCCATGCTAGTTGGGATCTGCTATGCAAATCCTTCATATCCAAAATACTCCCATTTCTTTCCAAAATACCAAAATATTTGAAGGCGGCATCAGGAGGTTAAAGTAACATCACAAACCACGAAGGAGATCAATATTACAAAAATAAACCTAGAGGGAGGTCTCGGAAATCTTTCCTAAATTCATAGAATTGGTAAGAATTACCCTCATGGCACTCGGATGTGTAGCAATGCGTACAATGCGGGCACCTGAAAGGCTTGGGAATACATCATCAGCAAACTGTTGAGAGAACTTCCAAGGTATCTGATCTCCAAAGGGCTGGCGACCTTCCATCAGAGCTCTTTTAGCAGACTCCTGGGAAATTTGACCCTCCAGGCAGACCTGTGTTAAAGTTAAATTAAGACAGATCAAAAACTCTTAGTGTTGCTTCTTTGATTCCAAGAAAATGTTAAGGTGAAATCAGAAACTCTACTATCCATATCAGAAAGGACTTGTGAAATCAACCTTACATCATTGAATTATCAAATATAAACAACTACTACTGTGCATCAATCCTAAGCTAGTTTAGGTCTGCTTTATGAATCCTCATTAAGAATGTAGCTCATTTAGACCCATATCAATCCAATTTAAGAAAAAATGTGATCATTGATGATGAATCAATATGCTATCTATGAAGTCAATGAGAAACAATGAAAGAAAATGCATTAATACGTGCAGACAGAAAGAACACACATGGCCTAGTAAAGATGAATTGAACTAAGTTTTTACCCTTTCAAGAGTTCCAGAGCTGAATAGACCACAAAACATGGAATGGAGCAGAATATACTACGCGTGCAACAGCACAAATTACTAACTGATGCTTTGAACATGATGATGACACTAATTGAAGGCAAAACTAACCCAAGGCAATTTTAGTCGTGATTTCGTATTTTAGGACCAAAATATTACACACATAGAAAGACAATCATGTATCAATAGAAGGACCCTATGGAGAGAATATTCTATTTTTCTGTCACTTTTTTACAAGGTAGGTAGTTTTATTAATGAAAACACTACCAAATAGGTCCCAAGAGGGAGTAGAAAAATTGTACAAAATCTACTTAAAACAGAGTTTAGCAAGTCCAAAAGGTCATATATGCTCAATACAAGATCTTCCTCATGCCAGCAGAGTAAATATTGCAAACAGCTATACTCTAAAACATACATTTGTTCCTTTTTTCCTTCAAAACATATCCTGCTCTGTCACTAACGTAATAGCGCAAGAAAGAAGGCTGCATATAAAGATGAGGAACTGCTGTAACTGTGGACATCCCACCAATTGGAACACCAGACAAAAGTTACTCCCTCCATCCCAATTTATGTGGGTGTTTGATTGGGCACAGAGTTTAAGAAATGAAAGACTTTTGAAACTTGTGGTCTACAACATGCCACATACATTTGTATGGCGACAAATATCTAATTTAGGGTAAAATGGAAAATTTAAAGTTAAATTATTTTTCAATATAAAAAGGTGTAGGACAAACTAAAAAGAAAAGAGTGTCTCATAAATTGGGGCAGAGAAAGTAAAACGCACAGAAGAAATGGCTAAATATAAAAGAATACTGAAACTAATAGTAGCACAGTGATTGGTCAGAAGATCTCTAACAAATATAGCATCCCAAAGAGCACATTTTCATAACAGCTACAGACGAGACCACTAACCTGGACGACACAGAGAATATCAGGAAGATGATTTTCTGACTCATCAACAGGGCCTGTGAAAACAATTAGATAGGCACTCTGCATTAACTTAATATGCAATTAATGTTGTGTTCTATGAGAAGCATCAACTGGTAGAATTATACCTAGTAGCACAAACAAGTGGTGAGCTGGAGCATCAGCCATCAATTGTAAATCATTTGGAGAATTTTTGTAATGAGAAGCAACATAGAGGGCCATCATTCGCTGCAATTTCAATGCAAAAGGATCACCATAAATCAAAGTTGACCAGGCAAAAATCAGCCTAAAAGTTGAAGAATACATTACTTCAAAGGCATAGGTGATTTACCTGCAAAAACAACTCGCTATCTTTATGATAAGAGAAAAGTGTGTCCCGGTTAACGTAGTAGAGATCGCAATCACCCGGTTGTGGTAACCTGATAGGAAAAAAGAGAATTGTAACTGGAGATAGAACATGATTGACTTCTGCAGGAACTAGGTTAAGCCAAAGAAGATTTACCTTCTGATACTTGGGATAGCATTTGTAACATCCAAACAGAGCAATGCATTAAGCCATCGCTCGATGGTATCGCCAGAAGCATATCTAATGGATTCACTCAATTCTATCTTTTTAAAAAGCCGACCTACATTTGATGGGAAAACTCAGAATTTAAACTAGATGAAAAAATAAGATTTTGCAGAGACCTTGGACAATTTATCATACTACTCAATCATGGATATCATGAGAGGCAAAAGTACACCGAGAAAAAATTTCACACTCATGAATGAACACAGCCCTGAAGGAAAGCAATATTTTTAACGACAAGGGTGTGGTATCAGCATTCACTTAAATAACTCCAGCTTGATTCATATAATACTTGGATTTACTTTGGAACATCCAGTCACAGACAACGTTCCATTATTTAAATTTGCAAGTGGACCTGCAAGAACTCTGGAGTTTGAATATTTCAAAAGCATGTATTATGAGTGTTTACTTTGAATAACTCCATCCCTGTTCACCATAATACTTGGTTTTACTTGAAAATCCAGTCACAGAAAACTTCCCCAAGATCTAAATTCACAACCAAAACTGCATTGCCCAAGGCACAAATTAAGGCATGAATTAAGTTACTAAGGCATACGTTTTTCAACAAATACAAGCACAATTCCAGATGTATCTCCCGCCTTTTAGTAACTACTAGTCTTAGGGTACGCGCATTGCGCGTGTACCCTATATCAATGAGTATAAAATTTTAAAAATGACGTAAATATTATTTTAGTAAAAATTTATACTATCGAAATATGAAATATTACCCTTTTTTATAAAAAAAAGATGTATAGACCGTTTATTTATGTCAGGAGAACATAAGTGAAAGGATAACATAACTGCAAAAAATCTGAATGAGAATCATGTTCAAAGCATCACTTTTTTATTATAAAAATACTTTAGGTTAATACAAAAACAAAGGTAATACGCAAATGATGCATAGTTTGAAAATATAATTGTCATTGTTAATATATGAAATTTTTCCGTCACATCTTTCTGAGTTGTGACGATCTAGTTCAACAGCTTTTCTTATACTGTAAGGCAATTAAAATCTCTATACTTTTTTGAGATAACCAGTTGGTACTATCAGATAATATCATAAAATTATTGTGTTCAGGTTAAGCACCTGATATAGATTCACAAGAAGGAACGATTGAACATTGTCCTAGGGCACAAGACTCTCAAGTTTCGTCTTTCACTCTCTCTGAAGCGAGTTGTTCTTATTCAATATCTTGTGTTATTTTCAATTAAGTAAATGTAAAAGCTTCAACTATAGTTTCAGTTCTTGATTTTGTGTTATTTCCAATAATGAGTTATTCTTTGAGTATATATAGGAAGATGGTTCATGGAATATATTTATACAAATTAAGTAAATGTAAAAGCTTCAAGGCACTCCTATCCAAATTAAGACTTTTAATTTAAAGAGTTAAAATCCGTAACAAGTTTATATAGTTGTTAAAAAAAATTATGTTGTTGGACTGTAAAACTATACGTGAATGAACACAAGTTCCTTTTGAATAAAAACATTAGTGATTTCAAATTCTTAATTAGTTATATTATATAGTTTAAATAAGGAAAACTTATAAGATATAAAATCTTAATCGATTTTAAAGTCCAAATATTAGTATACATAACTCAAATAAGGAAAAATTTAATAACCTAAATTTTAGTAGATTTCAAATTCCTAAATTGTAGGAAACGAATTAATTTACAACTTTGTCCAATATGAAAATTATTTTTAAGGGGTAAAAATGGCGAACGACAATTCGCTAAGGGGTTTCGTGCTTTTAATATAGTATAGATAAGGAGCTTCCAACCCAATGTCAGCGCTCTCTCATCTCAGTTTTCTTTGCTTTCCTAGTTCCTCCTGATACAATTATATTCAGGCCACGTGGACTCTACGCACTAAGTCAAGCGATCGACTACTGAAAGTGGAGCTGAAATACCTGAAAGTGCACTATCTGTGTTTTTGGACTTCTGACTTTGTTCCTCTAGTTGCTGCAGCAACTTCAATGATAAGGATCTTCCAGTGCCTTCATAGCTTTAAGAAGATAACAAGAATAGAATGATTATCAGCTCCGTTAACCCCAGTGTAAGCACACAAGACTGTGTAGAGATAATTCTTCTGTCATACAAGTGAGTAAGAAACAAAACTTTATGAAGCAACATATATTGACGCAGGAGTGGATAGGTTCTTTGGAGAGAATAAAAATACTAGATGGAAACTAAGCAGAACACTGTTTCATACCCATTGACGGTTGATGCAAGGAAGACGAGGTAAGGACCAAGCAAAGATTTGACGACAGGTAATGGAATAGCTGCTGCTTCATCAACCACCAACAATTCCACTTGTGATAGCTTTTCATGCTCATGTGGTAGTATATACTGACATTGCATAAATGATCTAGAGAACATCAGAAACTCAGAAAAAGAAACACTAATTGCGTTAGACATGATAAAGCACATCAAAGATCACATACTTGCAAAAAGTTATTGCAAAGAATGAACAGTATGGGTGTAAAAGATGTATTTGTAAGAAGAGGAACAAATACATTGACAACCTTTAAGAGAACAGAAAAGCACAAGAGATGGAGCAATATAAGAAACCTAACCAGCATACAAAAATTACCACGAAGCAGAACTAAATTGAAGCAAATTTTCAAAATGCCTTCTAAAGTTCAAGGACAAAGGGAACAGAAAGTGCAGAAAGTGAAGGAGAAAGAAATTGATATCAGATTCCAGGATTATTCACTGCAAGAATGAGCTTGGAAATGGAAGCAGCCATTATCACGATAAAACTCCTCATCAATATTACTGACCTGAATTGTCTGTCTGTGCTGCTTATAGATGTTGATCCTCACAGTAGCTTTTTTAAACTCCGGGTTATTGCTTTTCACAATATCATAATGAAGGTGCTCCTGTAAAGAAGAAGCATATTGAGTTAAATCTCTATATACCGTCAGCAGAACATGAAACCAATATCAGGTACCAACTATATGTACAACAACAACAACCACCAGTAGAATCCCACTAGTGGGGTCTGAGGAGGATAGGGTGTACGCAGACCTTACCCCTAACCCGAAGGGGTAGAGAGGTTGTTTCCGGGAGACCCTCGGCTCAGAGACAATAGATCCGTAACAACAACAGAAACCAGAAAAATAATATTAGCATCGTAAGAGACAGCAAATAAATGGAAGGGCAATAATAATAACAAAAATCGTTAGCAGTCCTAGGCAAAACACTATCAGACTCACCCTAACCTACAACCCTAATGCTCGACCTTCACACCTTCCTATCAAGGGTCATGTCCTCGGAAATCTGAAGTCGCGCCATGTCCTTCCTGATCACCTCGCCCCAATACTTCTTAGGCCGCTCTCTACCTCTTCTCGTACCTACCAGAGTCAACCGCTCACACCTCCTAACCAGGGCATCTAGGCTCCTCCTCCGCACGTGCCCGAACCACCTAAGCCTCGCTTCCCGCATCTTGTCGTCCATGGGAGCCACGCCCACCCTCTCCCAAATATCTTCATTCATAATCTTATCCAGCCTAATGTGCCTGCATATCCATCTCAACATCCTCATTTTTTCTACTTCCGTACCAACTATATGTGAGACTAGAAAAATCCCTTACGCGAGAAATTTAAGAAAATCCTAAACCATGCTTATGTTTCTACACATATTTCAGCAGGGGAAGCATTTTCTCAATTAAAAATACTTGAAGCGCCAAATGGCCCACTCAAAGGGGAAAAAACATCCCTAGGAAAGATAGATTTCATAGAGAATATGCAAATCGATCCTGCTCAAATAGACATATTTGCATCCTACCTTGTACTCGAGCATGTCGAAACCCTTGCAGACAAAGGCAAACAGAGTTTTCAGATTTTCAGGACTAGGCGCTGTTACAAAAATATTAGAATACCTGTAATAGCAATCAATAGAATTTAGTAAAGCACAAAGTAGGATCACAGAGAGGAAGGATATTGAAACCCAAATGGCCAAACCAGATTTACCCTGCAGCAACAGCCCCTGCAATTGCCAACCCAAGAGCAGCTGACTTTCCCCGGCCACGAGCAGCAAGCAGAGCAACAGTGCTTCGGAGCGTCTTATCCAGAATAGCATCGAGAAACGTGATCACTGCTTTTCCCTATTTCATATTGTTGGATTAATAGCATCATACAGTGGCAGGACAAAAAAAAATTGAATTAAAGTGGACCCACAACTGCTATTTATGGTGAACTCGGTATTATAAGTTAAATATTTTGAATCCACATCATCACTTGAATCCATTCATTTAAGCTAGTAAAAATAGTTTTTAAAGTTTACTATCAGATTCAAAATTACAATTAGAAAACTAAAGATGTATTTAATGCAAGCACGGAAGAATAGAAAACTATTTTTTATGAAAGGGAAAAGCAAGAGCTTTAATATGCAATAATTGCAGGTATGAGGATTTAACATGCTAGTTAAGCCGTAACAAAAATTCCTAGCTTCAAGATCTAAGCCCACATAGTGATATTCCTTTATCAGCAAGTCATATTCTTTTAGTAAGTGAAGCTCTGTTCTATTTATAAGAAGTACGTGAAGCTTTGTTTTATTTATGAGTGGTTGGTCTAACCAAACTGTATGATTCTACGACTAAAGGATTCCACAATTTGACCAGCGGCTTATTTCAGTCTGTATTTATTATCAAACTTTGGATGGAGAAATCTGCTTTTGGTGATTTCATCAAATTAAGGGAAAAACATCAAAAGTTGTATGTGCTGACAACTCTCACAATTTTGACATGTCGATAGTTAAACTTCAATCGAAAAAATTAGGAAAAGAATTATTCAAACCAAGAAAATAAAACGATCAAGCACCAATAGTGATCAAGAGGCTGTTTAGAAGGACATCTCGTAAAGTAATTATAAGGTGTAATAATCACAAAGATTTGTTTGTTTGTCATAACATAACTACAACGTAATGTTTGTTTGCACAAGTATAATTACATCGTTAGATCTATTTAAATTTTAACATAAAAATTAATTATCAAGAACTACATATATATTTTCTTTTTCATATGAACAAGTAAATAAACATTATGCTTGACAAATATGTGTCTATATAAGAAATATTAAGTAATCATGTGGATTATTTGGAAAGATAGAAATAGAGCTTTTTAAGGGGTGGAACAAGATTTTTGTAAAATGGCAAAGTAGTCTTTTCTGTCTAGTTCCTCTTTGGTGTACTCATGAGGTATCTACCTGTATAAAGGATTGGGTCTCTTTTGTTAAGAATCATATTTGGTGTAGGTTCTCTTCTTTTTGGTATACGACGTGTATACGGGGTTTCCGCAAAAAAAAAAGGGGCAACCCGGTACACTAAGCTCCAGCTATGCGCGGGGTCCGGGGAAGGGCGGACCACAAGGGCCTATCGCACGCAGACTTACCTTGCATTTCTACAAGAGGTTGTTTCCACGACTCAAACCTGTGACCTCCTGGTCACATGGCAGCAACTTTACCAGTTACGCCAAGGCTCCCTTCCACAATTGTTATAAAATTACTTACCTTGTCAAGAAAAAAATCCATATCATTTCATGAAAATATAGTACTAAATAATTATAGATTTGTAAGTAATATCATAAAAAATAGTTGGTAGTTTCAAAATAAACAATATTTCTATTTCAATTCATTAGTAAAAGTTCCATTTAAGAATTTAAATTGTTCACTAATTCATGTGAATATAGTATGAAGTTCATGTTTAGTTGCATTTTTTTTTCAAATAACAAAAGATAAATATTTATGAGTTTATTTTGTAGTAAATATTTATATTAATTTAATGATAACTCAAAAGAAAAAAAAAACAAGGCTATGACCTCATTCAAACAATGAAACCCAACTTTCATGGAATCTTTCAATATAAGTTAAGTTTGTTGAGAACTCATGAGACATGGCTTCAAGAAATTAGAATAATAGTAGCTCAATTACGGAAACTAAGAAAATACAGAAAACTAAATAAGGAAGAACCAACAATGAGAAGTTACAAAGTTACATGGAAGCTATAAGTAAGGTTCAGAAATGAGAAGAAAAGAAATGGGTTGAGAAATAATGTAAAACGAAAAATAAAAAAGTTAAAATGTTACCTTGTTACTAGCAATTCTCACATTCCCCGGAGAATTGAAGAATGTAATTGCTCCCTCTTAATTGCACCCAATTACATACTGACCAACTGTGTAATTACACTCAATTACACCCAAATCCAATTACAAGGTGGCTTTCCAAATAATCTAAGCTTTAAATCAACAAGCTCTAAGTTGAAGACAAGTTCTTATGTATGGTTGTACTTACTACAGCCCCATCTTATGCTGTCTATTTCAAGGGGAAAAATCACTTTGATTAAGGAAAATGAGTACTCATGCATGAGTGCTTGTACTCCTATTAACTACATATTGTCTGATTACTTTAGTGATTCTTGTTATGTGTGGCTCTAGCAATCCAACATTCTGTGACAAAAGAAAAGGACAGAATGTCCACTGTAAATATTCAATTTCACCAGGTATCAAATCATTATCTCCTGTTAATCCTGTGTTCTATACAACAATGCAGTTAAAACGCTACCTTGCACGCGAGTAACTCTTTATCCTGGGGGTTAGTTCCAAATAGATTTTTAATTAGCTACATATGACATACTCAGAAAACAATTGAGAAACAAATGTCAATTCTCACGGTTCAAGCAAAGTAACTAACCTGGTCCAGGGTACAGCATTTCCGAATAAGAGGGCCAACAGGGAAATCATCATTCAACTGTTCTTTTAAATTTCTTAACTCCCTTTCTCCTTCCGAAAGACCCTCAGAATCCTTCATCAAAGGAAATCAAAGAAAGAATTATGAATGCTTAAACCAAGCGATTATCAAAGATAGTTTACCCTTTACTAAAAGTGACTCCAGAAAGAGTAATTCTTTCACAGTTCAACATCTGAGATGGTGTAAGCATATGTGAGAACTATAATTTATATGGACTATCATCTGAATCAGTGCATATCATCTAAGATATAGAATCAGTAAACAAAACTACTCACAAACATACTGATCCAGAAAGAAGTTCACCTCTTGAACTGGAACAGCAGTAATATTCTTCATGTGGGAGGAGATTGGTAAAATATTTAGTTCATCATCCATGACAATACAGGATTCACATGATGCAAGAGAAAGTATAAACCGCTCATTAAAGCGAGGGGTAGCCTGTGAATGGGATTCTGTACGAAATCTGTCGTGAACATCCTGCATTTTCACAAACCTTTAATGAGTATCAAGATTAAACACCCACAGAAAATCAATTAGCAATCTGCAAGCTAGTAATAGCTTCTTCATTCAAATACTCTTCTTTTTGTTTGTGTATGTGTATGTGAGATACATTGAAATCTTATTTAACAAACAAAGAGCGAGAAAGAAAAAACAAATAAGAAGTAAAAAGGGAAGAGACATCATTAATCTACTTTTTACTCAAAGTTTTCCAGCCTAAAAAGCAGAGCAGTTGGGATTGGAGCTTACCATGACCATGGCGCAGAGGCTCTTAAGAGAGGACAAAGTGCGAATCAACAATACAATTAGCCCACCTCCTTCAACTGTCTCTATTGTTCTCGCAAGAAGATTCGGTGTCAAAGCCTCGAAATCCTAGAACGTCATAGGAAAAAGGAAATGAAATTTTCCAAAAGATCACAATCACATATAGAGGCCTTAAAAGAGGAAATAGTTAATTGATCCGCTTCAAATAGTTTATGGACATATAAAACCTCTCATTTACCTGCAATATACACATGCCAAAAGTGTTTCCTAGAATTCTTTCTGAATCTCTATACAAGCAATAGCTGACGCCTCCAGTTTCAACAAAAAGTTCAAAAGGCTCTACTTTTTCAGGGTCCAGTAGTCCTCTCTGCATATATTTTTTCACTTGCTTCTTTCTCTTTTGCTTGTGACTGCAAGAAGATGATTGACTCTATCATTGATGACAAACTGTCTAAATGACTAGTAACATCCACTGATAAACTGAGACGAACAGTGAGAAAAAACACCAGAACAAAGTTCCCACTAATCACTCACAAGATAATCAACTCAATATAATAACCTCTAAAAAGCAATGACCTAGCATTCATTCCACTCACCTGCAATTTGCCAGTAAATTTACGCCATAATCCATATATATAGCTAAAACTAACTTATTACACAACAAATAGAGTGACTAAAGTTTTAATATTCAAAATAGAATTTTAAATTTCTTCTCTAACGTCCAACTGCGGAAATGATTTCCTGCGTCCACTTTTAATTTGAATAGAAGAAAATGACCCTACAAAGAACTCTTGTGTTTTATTTACAAATCTCTTTTTTTTGTGTCCTGTAGAATAGGCCATATAACTAAAAGGCAGAATACATCGACAGGCCCTTAAATTTGCCAATATACCTCATTTAGACACTCGAACTAAGGGTCGTTCAAATTGAGCACTTGAACGCATGATAAAGTGTTATTATTAGACACTCATTGGGGAGATTTTGGGAAATGGATCTTGGTTTTCTTTTAACAAGCGCGTCTTTTGTTTAACGGGGCAGGAGTTTGTTTTTAGCTGATTGGGTTTTTTTTTTTAATAAACTAACCTATCTTGTTTTTGTTTGTTACGGAAAAGCTTATATATGATGTGTATAATTTAAGGAGATGGCATATTTTAAGTAGTTAACTTATCCACGTAATGGGAATTTGAGAACAAGCTTTTCCAAAATTTGAGCTGGAAGTGTCTAATAGGAACACTTTATCATGTATTCAGGCGCCAATTGGAACATGTCTTAGTTCGAGTGTGTAAATAAAATACACTGACAAGTTTAAGGGGGTGTCGATATATTCCACCTAACTAAAATAACATTTGTAATGGACTATAAAACCAAATCTCCCGATCCATATACCAACTATACAGAATAACTGCTACAACAAAGTCAAGAATTTTGGTGAAGCAGCTTCATTGAACCTTTTCAAAGTTTCTTTGTATCAAATAAAATCCAATTATAAGATTTAATCTAACTTCCCCATGGAATTAACCAATTCATATTCAATAAAAGGACAAAACTTAACAAGAACAGACTATATCCATAATTGAAAAATAAAAAACAAAATTGGAGAAAGTTGCGAACCTGCTAAGTTCAAGTTTGTCCTTATAGCACCAAAGCACAGTAGGCCGTGACCTCACTACAGCTTTGCTCAACATGTAATGCAAATTAACAATCTGTTTTACAAAATAAATAGAAACGAAGAATTAGAAACAAGTTCAAATTGTTCGCATTATTTACAGAGATACGTATAATGAAAGAGGAGTCGGAAAATGCCTGGTCACGGGATTTGTCACCGATAATGACAAACATAGAACGGTGACGATTTCTAACACCATTTTCTATTAGGGTTCTTATGCGTTCATCCACTTTCTTCCTCATTTTTTTCTTTTGTTTAGGGTTTATCTTCAAGCTCAACTGTTGTACTATTTTTTAGACTGCCTCTGTTTTTGTATGTTCTGGTGTTCTTGTACTAGGGTTTAGAGAGGGTTTAATGAATGTAAGAAGAGAACGACTAGTAAGCATTTAACTTTAGGGCAATACTGTAACTTTCAGTATTTTATAGGGTGAAACTCATTTTTACAATTAACATTTTCATCCTCTTATTCCAACTTTCGGTCATTAATTGGTCAAATGTAGTAGGGGATCTAATTAATCATGAACAACTTTTTACAATCTTTTTTTTATAGAAATGACACCATGTAGTTACTTTAAAGGAATGTTATTTAGAAATTAATCCGTATATTCTGAAATTTAATTTTTCAAGACAAAAATATCTTAAATTGTCCTAAAGTTAAAAATTATAGTTTAAAATTTCAGGACAAAATAACTACTGAATAATTTATAAATAGCATCTCTAAGAATAGTTATTTGTGTACTTGCCCCTCTTTCTTCGCCAATGTGCTACCTGCAATTGATGCTAACTTTATGAAGCAAATATCTAATGTCATTGTAGTTGGAAACTAGGTAGAAATTCTATTAAGAAAAACAATGTATAAGAAAGAAGCAAGACGATCACTTAAAAGAAATGATAAAGTTAACCGAAAAAATGAGAAGGAAGACAATCTGTCTTCTCTAATCCATGAAAAGTACAAAGTGACTAATTCTAATATTTGGAATAATACTTAGCATCGAAAGCCTTAGAAATTATGGTTTGCGTTTCTACCGGCAAACATATATTAAAAGAATAGTAGATCCTAAAATAAGAGTAGTAATTCCTTTCTTAATGAAGTTTGTCAACGTTTATACAAAAAATATTTTTTTCATGTCACTCGTAAATGAGCAATCATACATTAGCAAAATATGCAATCTAAGGAACTTATAGAAAAGAAACAAATGATAAATCACTCACAAAAACATGTCATGAAACTTGAAGGAAATCAAACTAACATGCCAACTATCACATATCATGAGACAAAGGTGCCCGGTCTCACTATAACATCAATAAGCTTGTTACCATCAAAGGATGTGGTGTAGTGGATGAGACTGTTCTTCCTTTAACCAGAGGTTTCGAGTTCGAACCCTGAGTATATATGAAAAAATCTTTGGTAGGGAGTGCTTCCCCCGAATGGGGCCCTACACGGCGCGAATCCGAATATAATAGAACTTCAATGCAGGTATCGGACACCGGGTTGGAAACCCAAAAAATCAATAAGCTTATATTCGTCGTCCCCGTTTTTAAATGAGCCACTTCCTATTCATTTAAGAACACAATAAGATATATATTAACAAAATGAAAAAAATTCTTTTAGTATAACAATAAGGATTCTTTCGACAATAAAGTTGAGAATGGGGACAATATGCATGATTGAATTTATCGACAAGAGTTAAAGAAAAACTTTTGATGGCCTCTCCGAGTTAAGTAAGTAACGGAGAAAATCAATTATAGTTCTGCTCAACAAGTATTGCATATTTCTAATATATATTTTTATTCAATTTTTGTTCAATATACATGCAATTTCACAACCAAAAAAGTGAGGAATCAGGAACAAATAAAAGAGCAACAAAAAATATCTGGTCACGGTATTTGTCGTCACCAATAATGATAAACATAGAACGGTGACGATTTTTAACGCCATTCTCTATTAAAGTTCTAATGTTGTTCACACTATCCCCCATTGTTTCTTTGGCTTAGGGTTTTTCTTCAAGCTCAACTGCTATAGTATCTTTTAGGGTTGTTCTATTTCTGTCTTCTTTGATGTTCTTGTATTAGGGTTTATGAGATGGTTTATTGAACGTAAGAAGAGAATGACGATTGGCCACCCAATTTCATCGTCTTTAAATTTAGGCAAAATTGAGTTTTTGCTCTCTCTCAACTTTTTTCAAATAAAGACTCTTAAATATGTTACTTTTTTTAAGAATTGTCCTACTCTTAAACTTATTTGCCAAAATTGTTCTAATTTTGTATATTACCCGCCCTAAACAAGGATTACTTACAAATTATATACATTTCACCTTAAAAAGCTCGCAATCCATTATTAGTGCCTTCAATCAAGGGATTTAGCTACACCATTTTCCTTTTTTTCTCTCTCCCCTCTTCTCTCCAGATCAAACTTATATTTAGGGATTTCTGTTTGATAATTGTTTCAAAATACATTCGTCAAAGCTATGAGATACTACTGAAGTTGTCATCTTTCTTTTTTTTGGTCTTTTTTTTCTTTATTTTGCTGGTGGATTTAATAGTGGAATAGAATTTATGCGATCATTAATGTGTTGCAGCAATATAATGGTTTTTCTTTGTTGATAGTCCAGATGAAAAAGTACTATCAACACCAATAGTTAATAGATCATCGACACACTGGAGAAAAAGATCATCTCATCAATGAGCAAGAACCAAAGACTGAAATTTTCAGACAACCAAGAGAAGGTAATGTCTACAAAGCAGGCGATGAAAAACCTACATCAAATGTTGCAGCTGAACAAATTTTAGTATCTCTTCGGACTTCAAATAAGATAAAATCAACTCAGAAAAGAACAATATATGGTACATCAACATACAAATTAAAAACAAATTTCGTACAAATTTAATGCAAATTTGAAAATCTACAACAACATACATAGTAAAAATAAATTTCATACAACTAATTATATATTATACAACTTATCTACAACTTTCATATATTATTTCTACCAAGTTAAATACAACTACAATATCATACAACTTAAATATAATTTTTATACAATATGTCTTTTGTATATTTTGTATCTAGTTTATACATAGTAAAAATAAATTTCATACAACTAATTATATATTATACAACTTATCTACAACTTTCATATATTATTTCTACCAAGTTAAATACAACTACAATATCATACAACTTAAACAAAAATTTTATACAAATTTTATACAATATGTCTTTTGTATATTTTGTATCTGATTTATACATAGTAAAAACAAATTTCATACAGCAAATTATATATTATACAACTTATCTACAACTTTCATACATTATGTCTATCCAGTTAAATACAACTGCAATATCATACAACTTAAATACAAATTTTATACAATGTCTTTTGTATATATTTTATCTATGGTGTGTGATTCGTCCTATCTAAAATTCCAATCAAAACTTATTATCTTAATACAATTTTGATACATATCAACAACTTTATATAAAAAAAATACTATTGATAACTTAAATACAAATTTTATACAACGATTCATACATTATATAACTTTTTTTCAACTGTCATACAATATTCAATATATATATATATA